TCAGCAAGCCATGGTTACTTATATAAATGGGGATAATGCTTGCATTTCTTTTCAGGGTGTACAGAAATAATAATCAGATAGTCATGTTGGATGAATAACTTTCTTCCATTTTCCTTGTTGTTACTGTTGTTGTTGTTTTGAGACAAGAGTTTCTCTGTGTAGGCCTGGCTGTCCTGATACTCGTAGAGAGATCCAATGGCCTCTAGCTCCTGAGTGCTAGGATTAAAGGCTTGAGCCATCACTGCCTGGCAATCCTTAGACTGTAGCGGTATCAGGAAACCAGAGGGTTAAGACATAGAAAGTAACCTGAAAATCATGCAAATTGCTTTTGAAAATTTAGTCTTAGGTTTGAGACAAATCTCAGTTTTATAGGTACTGTTGGGGTACCTTTCAAAACCCTGACAGTGCTGGGTGTCTGTAGTCTTTTTGGCTGTCTGTGTCCTGGTGATCTTATGGAATTGATGCTTGTCTGAACACATAATTCTTACCTCACCCATTGCTGATTAGTGTAAAGCCATATTGCACTACCATTCTGCCAGAAGTAAATGCTATTCCTTAGGTATCGCTGGGTCTTGCCTTGCAGAATGTGAACACCAGTTACCATGTAGCTTTACAAAAGTGGCTCTCTTTGTTCCAGAGCTGACAAAAAAATTTGTGTCAAATGACGAGTCCACTGTGGGTGCTTTTATTCTTCAGCTAAAGGCTGGTCTTGCATGCTGTGTTTACTGCAGCCAGTTAGAATGTAAATAGTATGGAGCCCTTTGTCTTGCATATAACATTTGTGTATATGTATGTATGTGTAAATGGACATTACTGTGGGAACAGCTGGATCTAGAAAACCATTAAGCTACAAACAGACTCATGTCCACTAATGTTGGTGTGCTCACTAATACGAAAAATACATGAACTCTGGTTGAGCATATACTTGATTAAGAATTTCTGTGGCTTTTACTGAGTTCCATTTCAAAAAAGGATATTATATCCTAGCTAGGCCCCCATGTGGTGACATTTTTGGGGGGATCTTATGTAAATTTACATAATTAAAGAATGGATGTCTTAGGAGCATGCTTGTTTTCTTTTTTTTCTTTCTTTCTTTTTTTTAAATTAGTAACTCTTTTTATAAGTTTTTGGTTTTTAGAGACAGGGTTTCTCTGTGTAGTCCTGGCTGTCCTGGAACTCACTCTGTAGACCAGGCTGGCCTCGAACTCCTAAATCTGCCTGCCTCTGCCTCCCAAGTGCTGGGATTAAAGACATGCACCACCACTGCCCGCCCTGATGCTTATGTTCTTACACTTGCCTTTTGCCATCTGGATCTCCTTAGTGCTACCAGCCCTGTCTCTGACTGGGGCCTGTCAGATAATAATTCCTATTATCTTGGTTGTGTCAGAACTGTGTGGGGTGGATGTTACTACTGGGGTTAGAGCTGGGGCCTGGGATCTGCTCAGTGCTCCGGGCCAGGAGTGAATTCCTGGGTCCCAGTGGGGCCCAGTTACTCCCTGTTTGCGGTGGGTGTTGCTATCTACTTATCTATGATACTACCCAGGTTAGAGCTCCTGGGAGGTCTGCTTCCTCTGTGTTTTGTGAAATTGGGTGCAGATCTGTCTCCCGGGATCTGCTCAGTGCTCGGGCTCAGACTGCAAGGCAGGAACATGCTTCTTCTGTCTGACCATGCAGTGCCGCTGTCATGATACCCAGGAAGGCCCTTACTGGGTGTCAGCACTACACTTGTGGACTATCCAGCTTTTAGAACCATGAGAACTTAAGGAAAACTGGGGATGTGCTCAGTGGTCCAGCACTTGGCTAGCGTGCATATGAGGCTCTGGGTTCTGTTAGCAAGCAGAGGAGCAAGGGGATATTGTGTTGCTTGGCACTTAACCTTACTCTGAATGGAAGACTGTTGTATCTCATTGTGGAAACTAAATACTTTTTCTTTCTCACAGACTCCCACAATCAAAGATGCTCCGAGAAAAGAACCACAATACTTACGTTGCAGGATGTACAGAAGTAGAAGTGCAACCCCTAATTTAGGTCATCTTCTACCAATGAAAACATTACCTGTAAGGTGTTGTCTCCATCAGCATCCAGAGGAGCCTGCACGAGTTTCATGCTGAAAACACTATGTGAGCGACTGGACTCTCTATTCAGATTGGTGTTAGCAATATGTCACTTTTTCGGACCTATGATGACAGAGAAACCATTGATTACACCTGAGGTCAGCCACTTATTATGCATGCTTTCTAATCAATCCAGAAGGATGCTGTTAACACACTAACAACTCTGAGGCTTAAAATGCTCACACTTTTCAATTTCTGGTTGTTTCTAACCTCTCCAGAAAACTTCAAAAGCCTCCTCTGCAGATTGGAAGAAACGGTTACTTTTCTATTGCCATGAAGGCAACTTAGAAGAGAAAACATTTAGCTGGGGGCTTGCTTCCAGCTTCAGAGGGTGAGTCGGTGACCATCATGGCAAGGGGATAGGCAACAAGTAGGCATGGTACTGGAGCAGTAGCTGAGAGGGTACTGTGCGGTAACAGTGATCAGATGATTCACAACCATGAGGAAGAGGGGTGTAGGGAGAGAGAAGGAGACTCGGGATGCTTATGCTTTTGAAACCTTCTTAAGGCCTGCCTCCAGTGAAACACATCTTCCAACCAGGCTCTACCTCTTAAACCGTCGTCCCAAATAGTTCTTTCAACTAGAAAACAAGCAGTTAAACATATGATCCTATAGGGACCACTCTCATTGAAATCAGCACAGAATTCAGTGTCAAATGGATTCCCAAGTTAGAGAGATGGCTCAGCAATTTAGAGCACTTGTTGGATCAGGTATGGTGGTACACGCTTTTAATCCAAGTCCTGGGAGGCAGAGGCAGAGAGATAGGTCAGCCTGGTCTACAAAGCAACTTCCAGGATAGAAAGGACTCTGCTGTTAAACACAGTAACCATATCTTGGAAAACCAAAAAAAAAAAAAAGGGAGGGAGGGGAGGGAGGGAGGGAAGGAAGGAGGGAGGGAGGGAGGGAGGAAGGGAAGGGAGGGATGGAGGGAAGGAAGGAAGATGTTGCTCTTCCAG